GCTCACGTAAATAGAATTAGTTAAAGAATCTGTAGAAGCCTTCTGTGAAAGCCTTTTGAAAATCTGTTAACCTGAGAGGAACTACCTGCTGTTATGTAAATCTGTAACCCCTGACAATTGTTCACTATTTCCTATAAGTTACCATGTAAGACCTCATTCGGGGCTTTTGAGACCAACGGAGAGGTCTAAGCTCCCTGAACTCCCACTTTGCCTATAATCTTTATAAACTTATAAAACTATATCTTTGTCTCAGTGTATTCTTTTATTTCTTCCATTTTCCATTTCTCTCTATTATTTTCTTATCCCTTGCAACTCTACCAAAGGGACCCGGTTTTTTGCAGAGAACACTGGCCACGTTCCCCACAAACTGGCGTAGTTGGCAGGATACGGCAGGAAAATTTTTCTATAGGGTCTTTTTTGGTAAAGTGTCTTCGCCTTGAGCGGAGGGGAATCTCCGTACACGTTGCAGGGGACCTGGAGAAAGGCTTCGAGCCTAGATGCCCTGAAGGAGAGAGGTGAGTACTCCAGGGATTGAATAAAAATTGATATTAATCTCAGGGTAACAAATGGGTAAAACTCTATCCTCTAGGTATATGGAACTGTTTAGGGCTTTATTGAAGAGTGATGGAATAGTTGCCAAAAAGAAAAATCTTGAGGAATTGCTTCATTTAATTTCCAAACACTGCAGCTTGTTTCCATCTCCAGATGAGTTCAAGCTGCAACAATGGCAGTTAGCATTAAAAACATTACGAAAAGCGTTCCGTAAAGGAGAAAAAATTCCTTTACATACTTGGCAACTCTGTTCTTTAATTACTCAAGCCCTACAACTGTTTCAATCTGACTCAGATAATTCTTCTAGTAGCGAGACGGAACAGTCCCGTCCTAAGGAAAGCTTAGTGAAAGGTCCGGAGCCTGCTGTATGTATGAAGGAGGAGGTTATATACGACCTTCCGTTTACATCAGGCCCAGATATAAGAGGGCCAGTAGAGATGGCCGTCGGCCCTGAGCACGGGTCGGTAGAAAAAACGGAGGAGCGAAAAGATTTTAAAGTTAGATTTTCGCTGGAAACTGCAGCCAGAAACAAGCTTTTGCCTGCAGAGCCCTTGCTTTCTAATGCAAATGGCTCCCAGAAGTGCAGTCCGCCCTTAAAATGGGCTGTTAGAAAAAATCCTAAAAAACAAACTAAGATCTCAAAAGGTAAAAGAAAAACGCAGTTAAATGAGAATTCAGAAGCATGTCTTTATCCTATTGCTATAGTACAGCTGAGCTCAGATTCTGATAATCAGAACGGGGCAGCGCAAACACCGCAAAGCCTACGTCATCTTCATGAGCCAATTTCGTTTAAAACTCTTAAGGAATTGAAACAAGCCTATGTTTCATCTGGTACAAACTTTTCTTACACCAAAGGCTTGCTTAAAGGATTGGCTCAAACAGAAAGACTAATTTCTTGGAATTGGGAATCTCTGGCGCGGACAGTTTTATCTCTGTCAAAGTTTTTACAGTTCATGACTTGGTGGAGGGATAAAACCCACCAACAGGCGTGCTGAATCAATCAGAGATTCGCCAATAAATATCTTGGCGGAAGGAATTATGGGACAAGGAAACTGGTTTGTCATAAATGTTCAATTAAAATATAATCAGACTATCATTCAAGTTTGGCAGTGCTGTATTAGAGCATGAGAAAAGATAGCTTCTCCTGGGCAAACTGTGCTTTTCTGCATAAATGTTAAACAAATTGCTAATGAACCTTATGTAGATTTTATTGCTAGATTTGCAAGATGTTGTGCAAAAAAACGGTTAGTCCTCCTGATTTAGGAAATATGATGTTATACATATTGGCTTTTGATAGTGCTAAGCGGCTTTTACATCTATTAAAATTAAACAGCGTGCCACTGGAAAAATCTTTAAAAATTTGCCGAGAAGTCCTGTCAGACACATGTAAAATGCAAATGTGGGCTGAAGCTATCCGCGGGCAAAACAATCCCAGAGGACAAAGAACTTCCTCTAGGTGTTTTAATTGCTGCCTTAAGAATCGTTCTTCTCGAGCGTTTAACAATGGCCGGTCTGCTGCTCCTGCTCTGAGTGCAGTAGAGTGGATCCTAGGCCGTTGCTCTCTTACATTAAAAAGGAATTTCAGTGCATTTGGGTGTAATTGATCCGGACTATTCAGGAGAAATTTCAGTTATGATGAGCTCCACTTCTGATTATTATATTCAGGCTGGAGATCGTATTGCACAACTTCTGATATTGCCTTATATACAAATTGGGAAATCTAATGTTCTAAGACAAGGAGGTTTTGGAAGTACTGGAACTAAAGTGTACTGGCAAACTTTTATTAATGACCAGAGACCTCAATTAGAAATTAAGCTGAATGGCAAATCTTTTGTTGGACTTGTGGATACTGGAGCTGATGTTACAATTATTTCTAAAGGTTTTTGGCCAAAGGCTTGGCCTTTACAACAAGTTCCTACGGTACTTACTGGAATTGGAACTATGACTGATATATTTCAAAGTCAACAAATTTTAAATTATTCTGGCCCTGATAAACAGACAGCCACTTTAAAACCTTACGTGGCTGACATTGCTATTAATCTATGGGAAAGAGATTTGTTACAACAATGGGGCGCTTATATCAATATACCTAATATATCCACTCCTGTTAAACAAATGATGCTTAAAATGAATTATAATCCTTGTTTTGGTTTGGGTAAAAAAGGCCAAGGGGCTAAGACTTTCATGGCACCACAAGCACATTCCTCAGTGCATGCTTAATAGCCCAACCCTGTGTCAACGTTTTGTCAATCAGCCTTTAGAAATACTAAGAAAATATTTTCCTCATAGCTATATTATTCATTATATGGATGACATTTTATTTGCATGTTCATCCAAACAAAAATTAGAACAACTGTACCAACAGGCCAGACAAATATTGCCTCAATTTGGTTTAATAATTGCTAAAGATAAAGTCCAACAGGACTATCCATTTACTTATTTAGGGTCTCTCATAGATAGAAATAAAATAGTTCCTCAAAAGGTTCAAATACGCATAGACAAATTACAAACTCTAAATGATTTTCAAAAGTTGTTAAGAGACATAAATTGGCTTAGACCTATGTTAGGAATTCCTACTTATGCTTTGAGTAACTTGTTTGATATACTGAAGGGTGACTCTGATGTTAATAGTCCTCGTAAGCTAACTCACAGCTCAAGAGGAATTGGCATGGATTCAATCTCATATTCACAAAGCTCAACTTTCAAGAGTAAATCTTGAAAAGGGAGTAGATTTAATTGTTTATCCATCAAAACATTCTCCCTCTGCTACCTTAATTCAAGAAGAGGGTATAATTGAATGGATTTTTCTCCCACATAAACAACAAAAGCATCTTATGACATATTTAAATAAAATTGGTCAAATTATATTTAAAGGCCGTCAAAGACTAAAACAGCTAAATGGCCAAGATCCTGAAAAAACTATTGTTCCTCTTACTAATTCACAGATTCAAATGGCTTATCAGCAAAACCTAGATTGGCAACTGGGTATATCAGATTTTGTAGGAACTATTGATAATCACTATCCAAAAAATAAATTACTCCAATTTCTAAAATTAACTCAATGGATATTGCCTAAAATAGTAAAATCCACGCCTATACCTCATGCTCCTACCTTTTTTACTGATGGCAGCAGTAACGGACAGGCAGGTAGGTTATTCTGGTCCTATAACCAAAGTATGGACCACGCCTTATGTTTCAGCACAAAAAGTAGAGTTACAAGCTGTTACTCAGATTTTATAAGATGTTACTTCACCTTTAAATATTGTTTCTGATTCACAATATGTTGTACAAACAGTTCTAGCCTTAGAAACAGTTACTGTTACAGAGACTGATGAAGTTTCCAAACTGTTTCAACAACTTCAGTTGATTATATGGAATCGCCAGTTTCCAATTTTTATTACTCATATCAGATCTCATACTAATCTTCCAGGCCCATTAGTGGCTGGCAATGAAAAAATAGATCAATTACTCATTGGTTCTGTTCAAGAAGCAACTCAATTCCATCAATTAACTCATGTTAATACAAAAGGTTTAATTAAAAAATTTCACATAACAAATAATCAAGCCAAGCATATTGTTTCTCACTGTCCCACTTGTCAAACAATTAATCAGCCTAAATTTTCTGCAGGGGTTAATCTTCGAGGTCTCTCACCAAATGAATTATGGCAAATGGATGTTACACATATTCCTGAATTCGGCAAGTTAGGTGTTGTACATGTTACTGTAGACACTTATTCTGGTCTTATTATGGCTACTCCATCTCCTGGAGAGACTGTTAGACATGTACTTTCACATTTATACTCCTGTTTTACATATATGGGAGTCCCAGCCACCATTAAAACTGACAATGGCCCTGCTTATACTAGTCATTCTTTTGCAGCTTTTTGCACAAAATGGAACATTAAACACATTACTGGCATTCCTTATAATCCTCAAGGACAAGGCATTATAGAATGTACTCATCAAACTCTAAAAAATATGTTATTTAAACAAAAAGGGGGAAGTATACGGCCCCCCAGAGATAGAATAAATCAAGCCTTATTTACTCTAAATTTTTTAAATATTCATAAAGAAGACAATTTAACAGCAGTAGAAAAGCATTGAAATGGGAGTCGACAACCACACTCTTTCCCTCACCAGCCTATCTGGTGGAAGGATGATATAGAAAATAAATGGAGAGAAAGATGGGCGAAGGTGTGGGGTGAGGTTTTTGCTTGTGTTTTGACAGATGACGGACAAACAGTCTGGATTCCAAGCAGAAGAATCAAGCTCAGAGTGGAGACCTGAGGGAAAGAGCAGAAAATGCCACCGCAGACGACTGAGGCCCTGACCAAGGGTTTTCAAAGGATAAGACTAAAGCCTGGTTATATTCCTTCTGACTATCTCTTCTTTTTCTTCTACTAGACATTGTAAAATTGCACTAAATTTGTTCAAAATTGGCATCATGAATCAAATCAATTATGGTCTACCCAAAATCAAATTGACAGCAAATTAGCTACCCAAGTGGCTGACTTACAACAAGCAGTCACCTTACTAAGAGACCAGGTTGTAAGTCTACAAAAGCAACGCAGACTCCGTTGTGATTGGAATCTCACTCAATTTTATGTTACACCTCATATATACAATCGAACTCGATTTCCTTGGGAAAACATTAAAAAACATCTGCTTAATCAAAGAAATCTGACTGAAGAGATTGGAAATTTGCAACAAGAGATACTAAGTACCTTCAGTCACCAACTTAATTTGCTCTCTGAGGCTGACGTTATTAATGGCATCTCATCTGGTTTGGAGTCAGCTGATCCATTTTCTCATTTTAAAATCTCTGGGAGTTTCACTATAGTAACTTTTGGCATTATTTTAATCATATGCTTGTGCTTATTTATAGTCTGAAGAAAACTCCAAGGAAGACAAGAATCCGGAGACCAATGCCTCGCCGTGATGGCTGTGCAACTCCATCAACTTATTTCTAAAAAAAGAAAGGGGGAGATGTTGCTC